AGAAGAGACGAAGCAACGTTCACACCCAGGAAATGATGATCATCGGAGAGTTCGTGAGGCACCCAAACATCTTCTTTATGGAGGTTTCCCATATTCCTTAGATGTTTACATATTGTTTCATGAGAGGCATGCAATTTCAGGGTCATTTCACGAGTGTGTTGCCTTGGGTTAGACTCAACAAGCATCTTCAGAGTATCAATATCAATTCCAACATGTCGGCCCCTGCCATCACAGTTTTTAAGGCTTATGTCACCTGAATGAAATTTGCTGAACCATCGTTGACACTTACGAACATTTAAAATATTTCCATAAACTTTTTTAATGTTCTTTGTGGCTACAGAGCCGTTGTTCATCTTGTATTCAAACAGCATTACATGCCGAATGTGTGTCTCGTCGTGTGCCATTACTATAGGAGATTAGAGTATACTAAACTTTACACATTATATAGGCTACATGACGTTTAGGCAGTTCGTTTAAGTATTATACATGACGTACGTTTTTTGGGGGGTGGTTAATGAAAGTGTTTCAAAACACGACATTAATTTCTTGACGACCTAATAAAATTGTAGGACTTAACTACCTGGATATAACATCTTTGAATTTGTATCAAAAATATTTTTTTATCTATTATTGTTTAGGGCTTATCAGGGCCACAAGGTTCAAGAGGAGAACCAGGATTAATTGGAATGCCGGTAAAATTTATTTTTTTATTGATTTTTACTTTACATTATTAAACTAAATCATTTCAAGATTTAGGATTTACAGTAATCATTGACCAATATTAGTGTTCAGTCATTTATCAAAACCAGCCATAACATATTTAGATTTGAGTTTTGCAGTATTATTATGAAAAAACAATTTTTAATGTTCTAAATAACTGTATCAAAATCTTCAGTCTTTTTGTAGACCTTCTTAGCCATTGTTAAAAATCCTAACTTACCTCTGTTAACTATTTTTTTTTAATCTATTCAACTCGTAGTTATGTCTGACTGTTTCCTTAATAATAGTTTTAAATTGTAGAGAGAAGAGATACAAATTATAAGAAATGTTGATTTCTGATGTTTTCGAATTATAGTTAAGAGACAGTTTATATTGGGATACTTAAAAACAGAAGAAAGTTTATACAAATAACAAATCCATGTGTTAAAACTAGAAGAAAAATTAAATGCTTACATCACCTTACACTATAAGTAGAAGAGACATAAAAAGCTTGACAATAATATTTATGACTAGAGAACAGTAAAATGCTTGATAACATTACACCACACTCTGAGTAAAAATGATGCAAAAGCTAAGATGTTTGAAAATACTATATGTTATTACAAGAAGGTAACTCAATGCTTCTCAATCCAAATTGTTTTCATGACTTTAATGCTTTTAGTCATGTAAAAATGGTTAAATTTTGTTTGACTGTATACATTTGATAGGATCTAAGTTTTATAGAAAATACAATGAGAGTTTTTTAGCAGTGGTAATTCAAATGTACAAGTTCATTGAACGAATATTAAATTTTTTGTCAATTTTTAGATTTGTAATTCTTTAAGATATGACTCATACCAAGCATACTTTTAGAAATCTGTTGTATAAGAAAGGTATATATATATATAATATGTTAACATTGTGTTTTGGTGTTTTAAAATTTTCTCATTATATTATATATATGATAAATTCATAGAGATGTCCCTGGTTAACACTATTGAATATGCACAGCAACTGCTTATTGCTGAAAAGATAATATAAACTTCGTTATCACCACCTTAAAACATTCAAGGACCTAGAACTTAGAAGCCAAAGATATGTTTGATAGTATTTTCAAGTTTCTTATGTCTATTTCCAGGGTGCTTCAGGTCAGCAAGGCTTAGCAGGGACACCAGGATCTAAAGGTCAAAAGGTAGGCCATAAAAGATTCTTATTGACTTCAATTTCAACATGTGTTGCCCAGTTTATCTCTAAAAACACGGTAGGGTCAAAGTATGCATATCATAACATTTCTTTCACAGTTACATTAAAAATTTATCGAGCTAAATTATTTTCAATGCATGTTAAAAAATTTGGCATCCAATCATAGTTTATAATTTAAATTTAATATTATTCAAGTTTCAATTCCTGAAATTCAAAGGAAAATATTTAAATAAATTTTCAATCTGCACTTCTGTCACATGATACAGTAGTACTCTGAGCATGAGAGCCATAGCCAGAGTACTAAATGTCCACCATTCGATGATTGGGCATTTATGCCAGCTTTTTAATGATACTGGAAGTTCAGCAGACTGTCCAAGACCAGGAAGATCTCTCGTGACAACCTCTCATCGAGATTGATGAATCTGACTGGTGAATCTATGCAATCGATTCCAGCCCTCTACCCAGACAGCTGCTACCACCATTGGGACATAAAACAGACCTGTGAGTGGCAGAACCATCTGTGACATGTTGGAATCTGACCTTACCACCTGTCACCAAAAGAACCCCGTCCAACGGCGCCACACCCATCTTTGATGGACACTGCAATAGTGGTCGAGGGTGGTTATTCTTACTGACAAGAAAAGGTTCTTGTGTTTCAGAGCCAATGGAAGACAAAGGGTATACAAGAGATGAAACGAGAGATACGCTGCTCCATATGTTCAGCGAGTGGACAGATGGGGAAGTACTAACATAATGCTTTGGGCCAGTATCTCTGCCAATCAGTGAACAGAGCTTCAATTTATTGAGGGGAATTTGAATTCTCAGAAATATCAGGATAAATTCTTAAGCCAGTGATTCTGCCTTTTCTAGATCAAGTTGGGCTTGGTATGGTTTTTCAGCAAGACAGTGCCAGATCACACACAGCTCATATACTGAGTTTCTGGAGAACAATGAGGTTAATGTTTTCCTGGCCAGCATTGATCCCAGATTTAAACAGCATGGAAAATCTCTGGTGTTACTGAGCAAGCATTTGCGTCAGCACCCACACCCTCCAAAAACACAACAGCAACTCAGAGCAGCACTGAGGGAAGAATGGACTGCTATACCACAATATCAAATCAGACAGTTCTGTCAATCCATGAAGCTGTAATTGAAGCAACAGGAGGACACATGCTATTAAACAAGAACTGAATTTGGTTTAAAATAATTTTCTATTGTTTCAGTTATTCGGGCATTGTGATAAATGAAGATGATTCAAAACGTTTTGTTATTGTATTGATGTTTTAGGGGTGTGTCAAATAAACAATTAATGTATGATTTGTTTTATTTATGAAGCAAATTTGCCAAATAATGGTGAAATGTGAGGTGGTGCATTTTTATTTTCTGTGAGGTCACATAAATTAGACTACTTTATTTTTTGTTTTAGCAGTTAAATTCGATATTTCACAGAGGAAGCTTGATGTTTTTAGGCTAAAGACATTGCTCTGAGTAATAATGGAATTTTTTAACCTATTTATAGGTTAGGTAGAAAGCCAGACAAATTATAGTAGTTTTGGGACATTTTATTGTAGTACCTGATAAATATTTGTGTTCTAAAATGCATATTTGAAAACCACATAGATTATATTTTGAACAAACAACATAGTGAGAAAAAAAAATAACCTTATTAAAACCATATGCCTGAGTGCAAAAACCTCAAGACTAAAATAAATGCTAAATTTCTCAGTTTTATGTGTTTTTTAAAAAATAACTAAGATATACTAATTAGAAACTTATTAGGTAAGCTAAGAAAACTGGAAGTAAAAAAATAAAAATATTTCTCCTTTCTCCTTGAGGAATGCATGCGGGCTGCCACTGTGTGGTGTAAGTAATGTAACCCAGTTGTTTATCCTAAGCTCTCTCTGTGTGATTTATTGCTTCGTTATACTAGTTAGAAATGGTTCAAAGAGCAATAAAACAATAAAATTAAATGGTAACAAATGTGAAACTGTTAGGAGACTGAGGCTGTTTAGGATAAATAATTGTAATTGTCTGTTACAATCTGCATTCATTCCAGAAAAAAAGCATTTTTAAATTTCGTGATTAAGCTTTCACTACAGTTAGTGTTAAGGTAGAAAAAGTAAGAGATAATATATAAAGTTTTACAGAAAAACAATCTATTGATATTCGTTTAGGAGGTTTTAAAAGTTATGCAAATGAAATATGAAATTGTAAGATGAAGTATTCTATTTCTTAACATGAAATTCACCTTACACTCATACTGACTTAGAAAAGGCTTTGTAAGTTCACAGACAAATCTTTAGTAAAAATACGTTATAAATACTCTGATTTATTGTGTATAAAATACCTGTAATATTTACTAAAAGCTTGCTCAATTATGAAAAGTTACACATAATACCTTCAGAATTATAGTATGTATTGTCTCATGGTTACATGGTGGATACAAGGTTGCCCAAACTGACTCAGTTAATCTTCATGGGGATAGTTATTTATTTGTGGTATACACCATTGATCTTAAAATTAAATGAGTTCCTCCTTTTAAACCATCACTGCAGTTCGTCATATTTCTGATAAAAGTTACTATGTTTGGACTTCAGGTAATAATCTCTTTTCTGTTGTAACCAACATTATATTTTTACATAATTAACATGACTGCTATAAATACCGAATCATTATATTTCAGGGAGATCAAGGAGAACCAGGCAGACCTGGAAATGTAGCAAGAGCTGGAGATCCTGTAAGTAGTATTCATAAGTGTAATCAAATAACCATTGTAAGTGTATTTCAGCAAACAGCTGTAATTTCTTAACAAAATACCACAGTACCTTATGACATGTATGTTATTATCACACTTGAAATGTAGATTAACTGTTATATTTTAACAGTTAGCCACACTATCTTCTAATATGATTGTGTTATTTTAATAATTGACCACAGTATGCTATGACTGTTTTCCTACTACATTATTATGGTATTTTAACAATTGACCACATATATCCTAACACATGGTTGTGGTATTTTAACAATTGACCACATATATCCTGACACATGGTTGTAGTATTTTAACAATTGACCACTGAATGTTTTAACATAACTTTCGTCACTTCAGTGTATTTTATTTATATTTCAATTGCATTTCTTTACAGCTTTATATTTTAATATTTGTTCATTTATCTTTGTAATAACTGTTTTTAATTTACCTACACTGTCTTATACTACTTATAAATTATTTGCAATTTTATAAGTATTGGGGGACTGCTAATCAATTCTTCTGTGAATTGCTTTAGTTTTAGAAATTTCTAAGTGAACAATATTTTACATTGTTGATACTTGTGTCTATCATAAATAGAGGAATGATGATATTATTTGCTGACACATTATTATACTGTTACCATTGCCAACATATTACTGTACTTTTTAGCCATTTTTATACATATCCCTCAGTAGAAGAATATTTAAAATAAAACTCATCTGGTTGTTAAACAGGGACCATCAGGACCCCCTGGAGTACCTGGTGAACCCGGCATTGATGGAAAGAAGGTAAGACCTGATTACGTTCTATATACTGTATATATATAAATGCTTCTAATGTGTCTGTTAATGATATGAAGGTGAGATCTTGTAAGTTCTGCATTTGAAAATATAGACATCTGCTTCGTATGAACCTGGTGTGAGGGAAGAGTGTAAGACCTTATTGGGTTCTATATCTGAATGTATGAACAACTTCCTATTGTTGGAGAAAGGTAAGATCTTATCAGGATCTGTATCAGAAGGTATAACATGTAATTATTATTATCCTAATAATGATGAGAAACAGGTAAAACATTATTGGATTTGGTTCCTAAATACATAGACATGTGCTCTGTCAGATTTTATATATGGGCCAGATTCTTTACAGTAGGTGTCTGTGACTTGTTAGTGATAAATTCAACAATAAACAAACAGCACACAATCTACTTGTTTTAAAATAATATATTAAAATAAGTCAAATGTTCATTACACAGTGAATTACCACAGTTTTATCCAGAGCTTTAACTAATCATCTCTTTTTTGTCAAAGTCCATAAACTGATCCATTTACTTCAGTACACAATTGACAAGATGAATTATTAATCTCTGCTCTATTATTATAATACAGTTGGTGATAATTTCACTTTAAAAATTGCCACTATACACACTTTATGGCTAAACTCATAAGTACACAGTCTAGATCTATCTATTTATCTAATTAACTACATAACTAACTCAAACTACATTTAGGACAAGTATTTATTACCCTACAAAGGCCTAGAATGTTTCACACACACTACAAGATATTGTGATGCCATAACACTCAATTAAAGCAATGAAAAAACTTAGAAGATTCTAGTAACATGTGCAATAATACAACAAATTCCAATTCACAACAGTTGAATTACACAACATATGTTCGACACAGGTACATAAGCAAACCTACTGTTACGACAGCGGAAGTCACGCAACACTGGGAGCATGTGTGCTGGAGTTTCTCGAAGGATCATGAATTTTCCTGGTAACTCTAGTTTGTTCCAGGCGCCCTCTTTTTTTAGTATATAAGCCCGGCAAATAAAGCGGAGAGGAAGAATTGGATAGATAGACAGATATAGAGAAAGATAATTGAGTCAAACGAGTAGTAGGCACCGTAAGTAAAGTGTGTGAATCATTGTGAATTATAGCGTGTGTTTATAAAAGTAGTTAACTTTAAAGTGATTGTGGAAAATCTTTGTATTGCAAAGTTGTATCGAGAAAGAATAAACTAGTTTTAATTAAGAAAGGACTTGTATCGCTGGAGTTTCTCGGAGAGAATTTCTACGGGAAGTTAACAAACGAGCAGAGACGTAACAATATATTCTGTATATAATTGTATAGATTGTTGATACACTTAGCTATATATAAATTTCAGTTTGTTTTTATTGATATAACATGGTTGGTTACCTTCTAAATAAATGTGCTATCCAGATGAAGAATTAGACAACACAGGTAAGAAACATTTTCAGATAACAGGAAGTTCAAGGATTTGGCAGACGAGAGTAGGTGTAAAGCTGAGGGTAGAGACAAAGTATTGAACTATGTCACCAGGTGTTGTGTCCAGATAACACAACGCAACAACGTACAAGTGTTGAATTCAATATAAAGGGAAACTTGTTTGTTTGTTTGTAATTATGCACAGAGCTACACAACGGGCTATCTGTACTCTGCCCACCACGGGTATCGATAGTCGGTTTCTAGCGTTGTAAGTCCGCAGACATTCCGCTGGGCCACTGGGGGGCTGAAGGGAAACTAATAAGTAAAACAAACTAACTTAAATGAAGACACAAACTAAATAAAAGCACTATAAATTAAATACAAAAATTAACTTTAAAGTTTTCTCTGGTTGGCTAAAAGTAAAGAACAGCTGAAATATGGAGCTTTGGAATCTAAGGCCTGAACACTTTCAAATTAAAATCTTTGTCTAAAGATCACCATCACTTTTGAAAGTTGGAAAAATCACCACCAGGGCGACCTGGTTATATACACCTCAAGTGACTCGCGCGTATAGCAGCTTCACGCAGTTGAGCGTTAGACATCAAATCCAAAATACCACTTGAATGATAGAGACGGTCTAGACTGGCACCACATATACAGATTATATACGTTAAACCGTGTTTGGATTTCATCAATAACAGACTTCGTTCCTCCCAAAGACAGTCTAGAAAAATTCAAACGTTTCAACAAAAATATAGAGAAGGGTAAAGTTTATGACAGAAAAACACATCAACCATCTTCTCCAAACTTTAAACTAGGACGGACATCACTAAAAGAACACGGCACCGAAACCCATATATAAACACAATACATTAAATATAAAATAAACTTCAGCGCACAATCAACAGTTACAATAATCTGTAATACATGAAACATGATACAACGCAATCCACAAATACAATACAAATACATGAAACATGATACAACGCAATCCACAAATACAATACAAATACATAAAACATGATAAAACGCAATCCACAAATACAATACAAATATATGAAACATGATAGAATGCAATCCACAAATACAATACAAATACATAAAACATGATAAAACGCAATCCACAAACACAATACAAATACATGAAACATGATACAACGCAATCCACAAATACAATACAAATACATCAAACATGATAAAACGCAATCCACAAATAAAATACAAATACATGAAACATGATACAACGCAATCCACAAATACAATACAAATACATGAAACATGATAAAACGCAATCCAAAAATACAATGCAATATACAAAAAGAAATATAAGTACGGAAAACATGATACATACCAAATCAACTCTTTAGAAAGAAAAAAACAATACAATATTATAAAATACAACAAAAATAACTTTCTATGTTTCAATACATAATATATAATATAATTGTGAATAGAGCGTAATTATAATGTGGGCCCGGCATGGCCAGGTGGTTCGAATTCCCGTCACACCAAACATGCCAATCTCCGCCTTTGCCTGGTCCCAATTCCAGGATGAGAAAGGAGGAGGGTTGGGCGTGGGGCTAGCAACTCCACTCCGTAAAAACCAACCTGCTTCAAGTAACTGCAACAACAACTTCCGTTGGCGAGGTGTTGTTGCGGCCTTATGCTCCACTGGGAGTTTACAGGAATAAAAAATATAATGTAGTATAATATAACTGTTACAACGGATCTACTTTGCAAACTATGATACTACACTAAAATCTATACAACACAACCAATATCCGTGACGTATAGCTACTACACTGAACACTATACAACATAATCAAATTAAGCGACGTATATTTATTACACTCAACTGCATAAAATACAATCATAATACGTGACTCATCGCTAGTGGTGGTACTGTTCCTCAGATTCTCAGGAACCCAAGCTGATGGCAACTCATCACTAGTGGTGGTGCTGCTCCTCAGATTCTCAGGAACCCAGGCTGATGGCAACTCATCACCAGTGGTGGTGCTATTCCTCAGAATTGCAGAAATCTAGGCTGATGGCAATTCATCACTATAGGTGGTGCTGCTCCACAGATTCTCAGGAACCCAGGCTGATGGCAACTCATCACCAGTGATGGTGCTATTCCTCAGAATCGCAGAAACCTAGGGTGATGGCAACTCATCACCAGTGGTGGTGCTGCTCCTCAGATTCTCAGGAACCCAGGCTGATGGCGACTCCTCAGTAGTGGTGGTGCTGCTCCTCAGCTTCTCAGGAACCCAGGCTGATAACGACTCCTCAGTAGTGTAGACGCTGTTCCTCAGCTTCTCAGTAACCCAGGCTGATGACGACTCCTCAGTAATGGTGGTGCTTTCCCATTAGATTCTCAGGAACCAAGGCTGATGACGACTCCTCGGTAGTATTGATGCTTTTCTCACTCTCACTGTTAAAATAGGTCGTACTGGTCACCACAAAGCTGACATTTTTCTTTTACTTCCACGCCACATATTAGATGTTACTGTGCTAACCTGGTGGCCTTCACTGTACATCTCGAGACTGTGATGGTGGTCCATCTCAGAGGACTTTCCTGGACCATCTACGTGACAATAATTCAAGAGCTTATATCGTTCAGATCCTCGGAACTTGCTTCAGGACCAGGACCAGCTCTATACAACATTTCACAATATAGGTAGTCCAAATAGGTCAGGCACCAGTGCTGATTGAAAAAAAACTTCACAACGGTGCTATTTAAAAACCTAGTGTTTTGTTCTAATCTGCTCAATTTAGCACTTGATAGTGAGAGCCGATTAAATATAAATAACTTCAGATAATTAATGTTTCTGGCATATCAATATAACTTATAAAAATATGAACTAAATTAAGTTCATAATTAACTTCTTATTGCGATACACTGTCTAAAAATATGAGAATAAAATATTTTCATATATATATTTATTTATAAAGGCTAACTAAGAAAGCAAAAATTGTATAAAAGACAATGTGAGATAATGTTCCACTTCTTTTTTTCTTTTGTTATTAAATTCCTAATGACGTCACTAGATGGTGTTGTATGACCTGCTTTGTGAAATACAATAATTGATTTCTTTAACTGATTAACTAATTGTGTCTTTAAATTCAAAGTAGAAATGTGCCTTACTTCTGGGTGTTTTTTGACACCTTCTCGGGCAAAAATTCTAAAACAAAATATCCCTTGTACATCGACGGATAATTTCCAGTTACTACGCCAAAACTTACACTAATCCGGCCAGTATGTGACGGATGTTCAAACAGAAACACACACATACATATAATGGATCACCTTTGTAGCAAGGAATAAATTTAAGTTACTTTAACATAAATGATAAGAGGAACAAACTACAATGAAAATAATGACTGTCTTTAACCTGAAATCATGAAATAATTTACCTGAACAATTATAGTTTTTGTATTGTGGACAACGTGCTTATTTAGCAAAAGTAAGCGACGAGTTATCTTTATTTCTGTCTCTCACTTAATGAGCTGACACTATATTTTTTCATTCACCTAAGTCAGTCCCCCTACGGTTCAGCGGCAAATCTGCAAGTTTACGACATACAAATTCGGGTTTCTATACCTGTGATGGATAGAGCACAGAAAGCCCACTACCTAACAACAGTCAAACCTCGAAACTAAAGTAAATGGGTAACTGATCAAGACATTTAAATTAATTTCAAGGTCTGCGCATGTGAAGTATTTACTATATATCACAGGCATCTAACACATAGAGCAGAAGAGGTACGACCCCCCCACCACCACCACACTTTTTTCAGTTAGTGGACATATACTATTATTAACAAGTACGTTAGATTAACTTGACTTTTTACACCTTCTCCCCTCACTCTTCAACAACGTTAGCTATATACATATATAAACACCTAGGTGCCGAAGCGTGTTTACACGCAAGACTCAGTCACTCGTCGCGAATCTAAAGTTTAATCAGATACTTACAGTTTCGTCTCATCTTTTATTTCCAAGTGTTAGTATGGTGATAGCACGTGATATTTCGCACACATTCCTGCCTGGTACAACGTCATGTCTTGCCCCCATGTTGCGTGAGATCAAGACGTCCTTACTTTGAACCTTATGTTAACTGTGGAAAGTAACTACAATACACGTGTCATATGTTCTCCGTAAACAACATACAGAAACACAACACAGAAGGTTACCATTCTATCTATCAATATGTATCTTTCCACATAGCACTTCTCATCACTTAGCCACCTAGAGAATTTATATTGTTTAAAATCATATATTGTACATTTTTAAACGTGATGCGTGTCCTATAAGTTGCATAGCATTAAACTAACAATACATTTAACGTGATAGCACTTTTGTTTAGGAAAAATATAAGATGTAGCATGTAGCAAGATTCACTTCGCATTCATTTGGAAATTAAAAATTTGAAGGTTCGGAAAAAATAGTGTCACCTGGTTCATACGATTTGAATAAGTTTATCTGTCTCTATTCCAAAGTGCGGCAAATATGATAACCACATTGTTTTCCGTAGATTAGGATACTACAGTAACAAACAATCTTCATTGTTTTATGTTGCATCGGACACTATAATAACAAACAATCTTCATTGTTCTGGGTTGTTTAGATACTATAATAACAAAAAATCTTCATTTTTTTCTGTAGCTTAGGATACTACGGTAACAAATAATCTTCATTGTTATCTGTGATTGGGATACTATAATAACAAATAATCTTCATTCTCCTCTGTAGCTTAGGATACTACAGTAACAAACAAACTTCATTGTTCTCTGTTGCTTCGAATACTATAACAACAAACAATCTTCATTGTTCACTGTAGATTAGGATACTATAGTAAAAACAATCTTCATTGTTCTCTGGTGCTTATGATACTATAATAAAAAAACAATCTTCATTGTTCTATGTTGCATCGGACACTATAATAACAAACAATCTTCATTGTTCTGGGTTGTTTAGATACTATAATAACGGACAATCATTAGTGTTCTCTGTTGCTTAGGATACTTTAGTAACAAACAATATTCATTGTTCGCTGTTGCTAAGGGTACTATAATAACGAACAATTTTCATTGTTCTCTGTACATACCAGGCGAGAATAAACCAATAATGTATAACATACTATTGAACGTTATCCACACACACAAGGCGAGAATAAACCCATAATGTATAACATACTAATGAAGGTTATCCACACACCAGTCGAGAAGAAACACATACTAGTGAAGGTTATCTACACATCAGGCGGGAATAAACCTATAATGTAGAAAATACTATTGAAGGTTATCCACACACAAAGCGAGAAGAAATCCACAATGTACAACATACTATTGAAAGTGATCCACACACCAGACGAGAAGAAACACATAATGTAGAACATTCTAATGAAGATTAACCACACACACAAGGCGAGAAGAAACACATACTAGTGAAGGTTATCCATAAACCACGCGAGAAAAAAACCATAATTTAGAACATACTATTGAAGGTTATCCACACACCAGGCGAGAAGAAACCCATAATTTACAAAAAACTAGAGAAAGTTATCAACAAACCAGGCAAGAAGAAAACCATAATGTACAACATACTAGTGAGGGTTATGCACAAACAAGACGAGAAGAAAACCATAATGTACAACATACAATTGAAGGTTATCAACACCCCAGGCGAGAATAAACCCATAATGTAGAACATACTATTGAAGGTTATCCACACACCAGGCGAGAAGAAACCCATAATTTACAAAA